TGTGTGTGTGTCTGTGTCTGTGTGTGTCTGTCTGCGTGTGTGTGTGTCTGTGTGTGCATGTGTGTGTTTGTGTGTGCGTGTGTATGTGTGTGTGTGTGTATCTGTGTGCGTATGTGTGTGAGTTTGTCAAATTACTTTTATGTCAATTCTTCTAGTTTATTTAACAACATCAACAACAACAACAACAGCTACTACTGCCATAGAAGTACTGGTATCAATATTACCATTGGTAACTAATACTATCATTTTATTTCTAGCTTGTTTGTCAATTTTTCCTTGCAACTTTTCACTTCAATTAATGGATCATGCAGTCTCGAATATACCTTAATTGCATACTTTTACCTATTTCATGTTTTATTCTTGCAAAAGTTCCCACTTATTTATCCTCTTTATTTTTCCTTTTTTTTTGTTTCCCATCTTAATTTTGCTTTAAATTTCTTTGCTGTTTTTTTTTTTGTTAATCTCTGTTGACCCATATTGTCTCTTTGCTATTCCCACCTTTTTTTCCTTCATAATATTTGAATAATTACCCAACTTATATTGATATTTTTAAAGCCACACCAATCTTGAGGTTTTGTGAAAAATATAAACATTGGACTGGTTTTATGAAAAGTTAATTCAATTTAATTATCCTTTTTTTTTCATACCTTTTCCATTATATATATATATATATATATATATATTGTTTTTTCTTTTGATGAATCATATATGTTTTAATTGTATGATCTAATTATAGCGTAATTTATTCGTACGTCAGAATGTATTCTTTCTTCTTATGCAAAACATTTCCATAATTGAATCAAATAATCATAAAATAGCTATGCTTCTAAGATGATGATGATGATGATGATGATATTATCGACTTTTTACTTAAAAAAAAGGAAGTAATTGACAATTGTGAATCATAAAAATAGTATTAGATTGACAATTATGTTAGCTTTATGATTTAGGAATTCGTTGTTGATGATTAAATTTAAATTTACGAAAACTAAATTATAAATTATATGCTATTGTAAAAATGCGATTAGCGTCGAAATTGTATGTTACATTTGTTTTCTCGTTGCTTTATTTACCATATATTTAAAGGTTTTTTTTTATTTTTATTTTTAATTTTTAAGCTGGATGATTACATAATTGGTAAAATTTTATCGTTAGAAGACGATCAAATGGCGCTACGAGAACTGGGCGCTACCAAAGCACAGGCGGTTTGTTTTTATAAATTCTCACAAATGATTGTTTAAAAAAAAAGTGCAAGAAATGAATTGAGGAGGAGAAGAAGGAAAATGGTTATATTGTTGGATATGATCTAAATGATAAAAAATGACTTTTCTTCTTAACTTTTCAATTAATAATAAATGTAATGGTTAAACTTTACAAATGTTATCAGTTCACATTTTTTTTTTTACTTTGCTTTAAGAGATAACTTTGGCAATATTGTATATATGTAAACTCAATTATAGCTACCGGTAACTTATGGTTGTACCGATGGCTTAACAACACTAACGTCAACGTTACGTGGTACGACAGTTTCAAAAGGCCGATTAATTCCTGGTGCAAATAATTCTTGTAAGTTTTTTGTTATAAATTTAAAAAAAAACTAGTTTATTCTAATTGAATTTTCAAGATTTTCTCATATTTTAATGTAAAATGCCGATATTTTTGAACACCATTCAAAATTCTGCCTTGTTCGGTGGCATATTTTATATTTTGCACTTTTTTTTTCTTCCCTCTTTTTTTAAATGACAAAAAAAAGGTAATCAGTTTTAGTTGATTCGGGTCAAAGTATATCGCCTATAAGCTCGATATCAATTACTGGCTCAAATTGTCGCCAAATAGTATCATCAAGTGCTCCAGCTAGTAGTTTGGACATGGAAACACTAGTGCGGAATGTTAGTCAAGATGTTGGCAATGATCAGGATTTCTATCGTGAAAGGAGGAAAAAAGATATACATAATATGAGTAAGTTTATTACATTTTCAAATATTACACTCTAAATTTGAAAGATTTAGGAATACGAAAGTATAATTATAATTTATTTACAATGAATAATAAGTGTAGCTTTAATACACAGTCAATAGTTTTTTTTTTTTTTAGTTATAATTA